TGAGCGTTCGAATCTGTGTCTCGAAAGAGACTCGAAATTCCCAAGAACGAACGATTCCGGGAATCTTTGTAGTTTTTTAGATCCACCACGACCTGAACGTCATAATAGATGAATAGTCGTTCTATTAATACTAGTTCGTTTGCCATTTAATTATATTTAACTTCTTACTTCTAACCTTAGCTCTACCTCCCTCCCCCCCCAAACATGAATGAAAACGATCGTTTTTATCGGTGATTTTTTTTCCTGTCGTTTCTGCAATATCTTATTTCTACATCAATATCCTTCGATGAACTAAAAATTAATACCGTGTCCCAGTAATCGGACACCTGAGATTGAAATTTGTACCAACGATCCGAAGTATAATAAGTTACGAACATTATCCTCGACGATCTGAGAACTTATGGAACGACCTAATATAATATGTATTGCAGGGTGAAATAAGATTGTTAGTTCCGAGGTGGTACAGTCCAGAACAAAATGATAGGACGCTGGAAGTAATTACTTATTTTTATTTATACCGTCGCATCAACGTGTTTTAAGATTGTTTTGAAGGCAGATAGCCCAACGTTGTTTCGCTTTCGGAGAATTTATGACTGGGCCGAGGACTGAATGGGGCCTTGACATAAACTATGCGCCCTCGCGGGTGGGCCTCGGACGATGGCTAGTGACTCGATGTCACGTAGCTATCAAGTGTCCTGGGATTGATTGTTTAGAGCAGTGGTTCTTTATCTTTTTTCCAGGGACCTCTCTCGGCAATTTAGGCGAGCTCGCGGGCCCCTTCCCTTTCTAAATAATAATTCGAACTCGTATATTTATTTAAAATAAAACGCATTTAAAATATATTACAAAACACGTGTTAAAATATTTTGTTTCGTACTGAGTTTTTTTTTTTAAAATCGGTGTAGCAGATTTGACGCAGGAGAATATGGTACCATGATTATAAGGGGAATATGTCCTGACGAAGGCTGACTGAAACGTCTGACCCAACACGACTCGCAATTCCTTGAAAAATTCATCTTTCTTTTTCTCGTCAATAGATTAGAGGATTGTCTTTATTGACTTCACTAATTTTGGATGAATAGCAAAATCATTATGATTCCTGAAAAAACTATTTAAAACATTTATTTTCTGTGCTTTTCGAATTTTTATTCTCCGATTCCCTTCTCTCTATCCGATTCTTTTTATACGTGTGTATATTTTGACGAAGACTGGTAATAAAAAAGTTGAAACGAAGAAGAAAGCGCTGCTCGAAAAAAAGAAACTAAAAATAAGGCGTGTTTATTAAATTTAAAACACGACGAAAATAATATTCACAATGAAAAGTAGCAACGATGCTCGAACCTCGTGCAAAAGAAAACAACCGTATTGCAAACAACGCACCTGAGATATTACTTGAAAACAAAGAATAAAATGTCTTGTGGAACCGCAGGATACACACAGATTAAACAATTACACCCAACAGACCAGACATAACACTCAAAGATAAGAAACAGATGCACCCCTATTCGATAGATATATCAAGCCCAAGTGATACCATCGCGCTAGAAAAAGAAGTAGAAAAAATAGAATTTCCAAAAATAGTTTCATCGTTTCGTCGAATTAATTTTGTCTGGGAAATACATTTCTTTGGATTTTACGATTATCGTCCTCGATTCGTGTCGTATAAATTTCCAAGATGGCCGTCGCTCACGGTCCCCGGCGATAACGGTCAGGTTCTCCGATTTTTGCGTGCTCATAGTTCACGGCGTCGCGCGTGTGCGCGTTACACAACGATAGAAATTTTTTTCCCCCCGTCGTGTCGCGTCCTTTGAGCGCTGGCAAGAATCAAGCTTGATCGTTCCCGGCGTCGGATCGTTCTTTCTTCCGGGAAGGACGATTACAAAGCCACCAGCGAGTTTCCGCGTAATCCACGTTCAACCGACGCGCCGATCGCGCGCGTGTCCCCTTGCCGGCCGAAGAACAGGCCGAAGGAGAAGCGGAAAGACGATCAAAGGGGGCGAGAGCGCGCGGGATAGGAGAAGAACGCGGACCTCGGTTGCACCGACGAACGCCGACGAGGGGGGGCGAGGCGGCGAGGGGGGTAACGGCAGAGAGGATTCGCGCGTCCATTTGTCACTCGATGCCTCATCGAGGATGCGGTATTTCCTCTAACGCGCCGCTTCCGACGACGAACGCGCGTTCCTCGAATCGGCCTCGGACAAAAGCTCCGCGAACAGCGATAAAACGCTCGAGCTCGCTGCCATGCGCAGGAGACGTTGCCGTTTCGCAGAGGAATACACCCTGAGAAGCAGTCGCCATTTTTCCAACAAGACCTTGCCCACGCGATCGGGACCACCGATCAATTTTAGACACCGAAATTACCCCCCACCAAATAACATTCTATACATTCTAATAATTAGTTTAATTGAATATTTGAATTCAGATTTTTTTTTTCGTCGCTGAGACGAGAATTTCTGATCTGTTCCGCAGAAGCACCGATCTTCGGTAGGAATTTATATTTATAGGAACATATTTTAAGAATAAAGTAAATTTCGGGAACCGAACAATCGTTCCTATGTTTCCCACGCGATTACGTTATTTCTGTCCTTGATCGTAATAATAGCTGCTACGCTATTTTTGATATTTAAAATTTGACCGCCTCGTCGATTCGAAAATATAAAAGTATCGTCGGAATTAGCGGACGTCGTTTCTAAGTGGAAGTTTCCCTTCTAAATGGAAATATTTATGAAATATTGTTTCAGACATCTTCCGTCTTGCGGAGCAAGAGTATTCACTCTAAGGAAAGAGAATTAAACGAATTTTAATATAATTAGAAATTTAAACATTAATCCTTGTTACGAGTGAGAAATTAATAAAAGACAATCAGACTGAATAGAACGTTTATGGTTTCTATAACCGTGGGACCTTTCCTCAGGATCGGTTCTTCGTACGAAATGAAATCGGAATGTCCTTTGCCATTTTACAATCTGAGGCATCGTCACCGAGATATAAGCAGTTGAAGTTCACTGATGCGACTCCCGACGCAGGCTATTTATATCATAATCAGCTGATCGCGCGGCAGCACGTCCACGCGCAAAGCACATATCCATATGTTCGCGCGCGCAAAAAATTCAACCGCTTATATTTCGATAACAGAACCTCGGATTAGAAAATGGTAAAGGACTTACCGATCTCTTTTTGCACACTGTATCTATGTATGGCGTGTTACATCTGTTTTAAACAACCTACATCTGATATTGAACTACAAGTTTTCGAACTTTAGTGTACAATATAAATATTCCATACTTGGTATATGATGCCTATACAGTTCAGTAAATGATGTTGTAATAATTTATCAGCAATCGTTTTGTATACAAATATGGTTTTTGTAAATAGTCAGCAGATTGAGAATGAAAGTAATTCTATGTGTCCACTTGAGAGTTTTACTCAGACAGTCACTATCGAGAGCAAAACTTTCTAGTGGGCGATGCATTGATAAGGAAAAAACTCAACCTGTCTCTCTCCGATTTTAACCTACTTTTGCAGGATGGTAGATTACAGACTTAGGCGCTTATTGTTTGAATAATTGATAAATAATGGAATAATTCTTATCTTAAGAGGAAACAGCAACCTTTCACCTTTTACAAGTATTACTCGTATATAAATTGAAAAAACATTTTTATAGAATTTTCTAGTTTCATGGAGGGACAAATTTGTCTGCTCCTAAATGGTTAGAATAGAATAAAATTAGTTTTCTTAGAATTACTACGCAACATCGTTATTGTCATCTGTGAGAACGGTATATTAAAACAATATTCGCCGAATGTTTCGATCACGAAAGCGATTCGAATATTTCTAATACAAAAAAATTCATCGAGTCTACGTCGTGATCGATTTGTAGTCACTACTCGAGAGGCACGACCTCGAAAATCTCTCGGCACTTTTTATCGAGTGCGGTATTTTACGCGCATTATTAATCATACGAACACACCGAGCAACGAGTATAACGACGCTATCGATCTTTTCTGCGATTCCGCACACGAAATCAAACATCTATCATTTTTGCTGCGTGCTTCACATCGAAGACTAATGTCGCTCTATTTTTGCATTTAGACCTTCGTATTATACATTTTGTACCAAAGCGTTCTCCCACTAATAACGCGAGACAGACATCGAAGAAAACAATGAAAACACGACGATGTCTAACAACAGCAATAAAAGTAAATGCAGTCCCAACATAATGGAAATATACTTAGCGTAGTGAAATTAGGTACGGACCCTTTGAAATAATTCAAAACGCGGTAGTATATTTTCTCTGTAATGACACAGAACTGTGGCTGGTAACAATAATAACAATAAATATCGTTACTGTTGCAGCTACAATTGTAATTATTATAATTGAATTATTTATTATTATCTGGAACGGGCCACGGAGCGCGAGTACAAGAAAATGTTGAAACAAAGCGCGCACTGTTGTTGGCCCCGAGTCAAAGACAGATCTCTCGGGCCGCGTTCCTCCTATTAATTAACCTCGGAAAAGCAGAATCGCGGCGCCAGAATGAATCACCGCGGCGATTCGAGCCGCGCGTCTCGGCACGCCGCAGATCGCGGATCGTGGATCGCAGAATAAAATTATCCTGGCGTCGAACGACACGCGTACTTACGTAAAAGTTACCGCGTCGATCGTCGATCGTCGATCGATGCGCGCGCGACTGCCCAACTCGATTACGCCCGACATTTTCCGCGATCGAGGCTACGAGACTTTGTCATCATTCGTCAAGGATTAACCCCTCACCTAAAGTACTTAAAATAATATTTCCAAAAAAATCCATTCTCGTTTAACAACTTCTAACAAACTCTATAGCTTTTTATTTTTTATTCAATCCAACGGTGTTCGTTAGTACGTAGCCATTTTCAAATTGTATCGAGAAAATAAGTAAAAAAACTGTATGGTGACATGAAAATTTCTCGATCGGATTCACGTTGCTCTCGAACATTTTTTTTCTATTCGATATGGTAGTTGAATTCTTTCTTTCGTGGGCCTCGTCGAGGCATGTCCCCCTTTGAACGGTTTAAGCGACGGAATGTCGATAGTGTGCGCCTAGCCTAAACGGAGATAAGGTCGTTGCCGTCGCTGGGTTCGATCTCCGCGATGTCGGATCCCCTGGATTCATCGAGCCGTTCGATCGCGTGAACCAAACGTTTCTTCAACTTCGCCAGCTCCTTGGTCGACACGATCGGCGTGACCGTGTTCCACGTCAGAGGCTTCGACTCCGTGATCGTTGGCTTCTTCGAAACGGATCTGAGGAGAGTCGTCAGCGTCGCGTCAGCAATTTCTTCCCAGTCCTAACGAGAAATGGCAAACATCGTTAGGGCGGGCACTGAGTAGAGCAGGGCATCCTCAACAGGTGTGCAGGGGCGGTGCCAGAAGTCATATTTGAAGGGAGGGGGATGGGGAATCACGAAATATGTGAAAGTATATTTTCGAACCTTCTGCACAATTCGAAATTCGTTTATAAATCATTTACTAATATTTCTTGATTCATTTGTTATTTATTTCAGGGTATTTCGGATTTAAATAGCTAGACTTTAGCTACGAATATAGTTACAAGACTGAGCACCATTCTATTCGACAGACTGTAGATTGACTGTGCCCCCTGCAAGTAGTTCTAGAAAATAACTGGGATCGACCTTGCGACAACCCGATGCACAGAAATCGTGACAACCTGATAGATAGTACTGTACTTACCAGCTGATCGCACGGTCGTGGCCGGAAGCCAATCGCTGCCTCCAGCGTGGCGTATTTCTCTTCGTTCGCGTTAAGCCGCAACAACAGAAGCAACAACCTCAGACTGCACCAAAGCTCGTGTCCTGTTCGGTCTCGTTCCTGCAACCGGCAACGTGTTATCGACGTTCCACTTTTCGTTCGCTGGGTCTTGGACTCACCGTTCTAGCTTTGACAAGGGCTTCGAGACAGTCCAAGGTCGTACGATAAGTGGAGTCGAAAAGGAATGGCAATCCGGTGTCCGGTAACGATTTACTGTTTCTTTCTCTCACGGCTCGCAGCATCTTCCTTTCGATGTTTCTCAATTGCACTGTCAGCAGCCCGATTTCGTTCTGGCAACGAGAACGACGAAGTTCAGAATATTAATCCACGGCTCAGGATCGAAATATATATAAGAGATCGATTCCTCGTGCAAAAAGAAATCGAAAAGTCCTTTGACATTTTGCATTTCGAAGCTTCGTTACGAGGACATGGGCAGTTAAAGTTTACTGACGTAACCTCTGGCGCCATTTGTATTCCAGTCAGCTGATCGTGCGGCCATTTCTGCACCCGTCCGTGCAAAAACTTTAATCGCTTATATTTCGATAACGAAGTATCAGATTGTAAAGTGGAAAAGGACTTTTTGGTTCGTATCGAAACAAAGAATTCGTCCTGAAGAACGGTTCGACATTATGTACAAACTAGACTATTTCTAAATTCTTTGCATCCTCTTCGAAAACATTAAGGTTGATGTTCGAAATGTAGATGTATAATTGAACAGAATTTTCTTAGTATGATAAATATAGCCTAGTTAAGAACCTTCTATGGTAATGTAAGACCATATTCATAAAAAGTTATAAAAGGCTTAAGTATGTTAAGAGTAACTGTGGTTGGTTAACGACACTTGGCTTCTTCCCTAAGACAAAGAACATGAATTATTTATTTATACTTTGTAGGATTTGTCCCAATGTAAATCCAGAATAAAAAGATTGAAACACGTTTAGGTGTCATCGATAGTCGATTTAAATGGGATACCCTGTATGTTATTCGAATGAAATTCAGCCCGTGTCTGGTGTGACCTGTCTCGAATGACCCAACCTGTCCGAAGAATGCTTGAATTACCACATAGAAGCCTTTATTTTCTATAAATAGAAGCGTTTCGACTCAACGGAAATGGAACAGGAAAGAGAGAGAGAGAGAAAGAGAGTTATCCAGTCACCGTTATCCTATCGATTTCTCGACGAGCGAGAAAATGAGCCTCTATTCGTGAGTGCACCAACTGAATGTGATTCTGGCCGATGGCCGCCGAGTGGTTCCCAGTCGTTTTGTCCTTCAGTCTGTTGATCAGCTGTTGAACCACCAAGGTCGTCGACAATCCGTCGTTCGATTGCACCCGATATCGATTGGTCGCGTTGCCGGAAACAATCGTAACAGCATGGCCGTTCTTCGCGTGTCTCAAACCCAGCGCGTTCCAGTTCTGCCTTTGCCTCTGAAGCTGATCCCCGGTGAATTCTGAGAAAGAATAGCAAAGGGTTAAAGGGGATAATAAATAGAAAAAGAACCGAATTTATTTATGTTACGACCGAATGTTTCAATTACAAAATCGGTCGAACGTGCCCCTCCCGGATCCCGATTGAGTTAACGAAATACTCAACGAGCGTTCCCGCCGTGCCCATAAATTACACGGTTAGGAATCGGCCAGGTGCGCCGCGAACGTCCGTAAAAAGAAGAGCATGGTTTGCGGCGAATGATCACGGGCCTCTTCGAGCTACGATTATCGTATTAGGTGGCCCCGATCGTCTCAAACGTCCCGATTCCGATCGTAAGGTATCCCGGACCATAATTTTCAAAGGCGAAAGCCCGTCGGAAGGAACAGAGGAGAACGGTAGGGGGTCGTTCGTGCTTGCTCCTCCCCCATCCGTGCCCCGAAAAAATAACTAAAAGGAACCACGATGGTTCGCCGGTTTAACCCTTCGGTTCACATAGGTAGCTACAGGTGCTATCTTTTATTTCGTGCATCTGTATGCATACATACAAAGTGGTCTATGCAACTTGTGCCTCTCTATAACTTCCAAAGTATGCGTTGCTCGACAAAATTTTGTACAAATAAGTTGCACAGTTTAAATGGATACATTACGTAGTGCATTTGTCTTTTTTATAGGTGAAAGTGTTTCGAAGACTTGAAGGTCTACTTTGTTTTTTTAAATGAAATACTATAATTTTTATAGAAAAATATCTGAACAAAAATACTATGGGGGTAAGATAATCGAAAACAATCGACATTGGTATCAAATCCATAGTTTTCGGGGTCGCTAAACTGATTAATGGCAATCTCGATGACGTTTAAGTCCAGGTTTAGTCGAACTCTGCAGAATCTTTTGGAACTTTGTGTCAATAGCTTAAATTACCAGGAAACAGCTGGGTGAAGCCGACGAGTGGTTCGTTGCGTTTGACGACGGTGGTGAAGGTGGTGGCATTTTCGGGCGGGCAGCTCTTCAGCATCATCTTCAGCGGCACCTGACCGATTTTTCGAACTGTCCGCAAGCTGCCGGAGTCCGTTCGATAAGTCACGACCACCTCGATCTCCGAGGATATCGGCGACAGGTCTCCGTTCACGTAAATCACCGTCTCCGACGTGTGTCGTTCGCCTAAAATTTCGGCCTCAAAGAGCTACGGAACACCCTGTATAATTGGGCACTGCCACAGATCGGATTTAACGCGTTGGCTGCCAGATCAAAACCATACAATTTTTTATGAAACCACAATAATTGTAAACTACGTAACATCTTTGTCTTAGTATTTATTTTCGTCACCTCGCTAAAATTCATGAATTCTGTTCATTTACTTTAACATTTTGATGATGACGTGGCAGTCAAAGTGTTAAAGTTTGAGGCTTACAGAGATACGGGACGACGAAAAAATCCTGGGTCGCGACCAGGGGTTGATACACGCAAACACAAATCTGGACGTCGTGCAGCGTGGCGTACGAGGACAGTTCTATGGCGACTCTGCACGCGAATGGTCGTCCCTCGGAGTCGTCGTCCGAGACATCATCGTTTCCAGGTAGAATGTTACCCTCCAAATCTGGCGAAACGTTCACCGAGACTATCAGCTCAGCGTCCACCGTGGCGTCGCTGGTTCGTTCGTCTGCTCAACATTTCGATCGTTCGCTTTCATTATTATCATCGTTCGTCCACTCATAGTGTGTATAAAAATTATACGCCAGGACTGTCATAGGTGGATTCCACGGAACTTGACAAAACGATCGTTCTTAACCTGGTTTTATCGACAATAAAAAAATGTCACGTTTCGAGTTTCACCTGAGGTTTTGCTCTTCTTCAACAGGGCTCGTAGCTCTCCGAGCTGTTGCTCCGCGGCTGCGTAATCGTATCCCCTCGGATGAAGCGGCGGCGCGATGAACAATCCTGGTTCCACGCCCAGGTAACAAGCCTCCAGGCGACCGTCCTCCGACAGAACAACGATTACACCCTGCAAATGCTGAAACCATTGGACGATCGTCAATTGTACGCTTCCGTATCAACGTAGACCATGCTTCTCGATAGGATAGCTGTCCGAGTAATCGACGGTATTCGTAATAATTCTTAAAATGAACACGTGATTCGTAAGTTGAACATTTCTATCCCTCCCAACTGGGGTAGTCCTCTTTGGAGTTAGCGAAGCGCGAAAGACGACATTTAAAAAAGATTACAGCCATTGCTTTGATTATTTTCTGAGGAACGGAACATTTATTTTCCCGTAAATGTCCGATTGCTGGAACAGTTACCCTATCGAGGCAATTAATGAACCGACAGTTACTCTATCTTCCGGAAGGACAACAATGGCAACCTTGTTGGTCGCTGTGTGCAACGATAACGAAAAGATAAAGTTGGGACGATAATTGCCAACGACGTTTGTCCTTCTACGTGTTGCGTGTCCTTGTATTCTACCTTTTGCTGTACCATTGTAGGTGCTCAAAACGCACTTGTTCGAACGTACTGTGGCCTTCGCGCGACCTTGATCTCAGAAATTTATTCTATTTCCATCGATACGGCTTGTCGATTAAGTGCTTTTCATCCTGTTCATCCTGTTTAGTATACTTGTACATTTTAGTATTTTGTTTTTACTCGATAAATACAGTCGTTAAGTAAAAGAATAAATGCGTGTATCACTACTATTATTATTAATCATCTTTGATATGCAAATAAGTAAAGCTTGCGTACAATGCATGCATGTTACAAAACAATATTACGTAAAGACAATGTATAGCCAGAGGCTCCTTTTAAACCTAACCTCGAAGGTATCGTAACACGCGGAGCCCACATCATCGGTCGATCAGGAACAAAAGCAACGATAAATTTTCATAGAAACGATTGCCCCGTTCGACCTTTTTCTCGAGTTATTTTCTGCATCTGGAAATCTTGATCCGCGCTATTCTCAGATCAAATCGTCAGGAACAATGCGATATAAATTTATGGTCGAAGATAATTGACGATAATGTAATCGAATCTGTTTCCTTCGACGAGCGATCAACAGGTCAATCTTATGTCAATTTCTTGAATAATCGAACCCACGATTTATTGGAAGAAGTTCCATTAGATGTACGTCGCATATGATTTATGTTGGATAATGCACCGTCCTATTTTAGCCAGACAGTTCTCGAACGAATCATTTTCTAACGGATGGGTAGGTCGTGCAGGCCAACATTTATTTATAACCGAAAGATTAATAATTCTAGAAAAATTAGTGATTGTAGAATATTTGAACAACAGTCCGCCCGCGGGCTTGTTCTCGAATTTATGAATTTGTACTCCTCTGCTCGTCGTTTAATAGCGCAGTTGCCTTTCGAGCAAATGATCCGAGTTTAGACACGAAGAAACTTTTCCAGTTCTTCCCTTTGCTTGCGCTGAAGCTTCTAACTCTGACGAGTAAAATCTCGAGTGGACGCCGAACGTTAGATGTTTTTCGACTATGTTCGTTCGCCAGAAGTGGCTGGCTGGCGAAAGAAGGAAGTATCCACTTGGACGAAAAGGGATAGGATGGCAGGCAAACTTACCTGAAGCTGAGCCCTCGCGACGGTGACCGGAGCAAAAGGCAACTGCGCCGACCACTTGAGCGTGGTGCCCTCGTAAATCATGAGAGTGCTCGTGTCGGCAATTACGAGCACCATCAACTTCCCGTCCGGCTCTGAAAGTACCGCGGTCAATTAGCGCGGCCGTTCTCCAGCCTATTAAAACTACTTAAACGCGTCGTCGAGTCGTTAGCCATCGATCGTCCACGCGAACGGGACTTGAAAGAACGTTTTACTCTTGATCGATATTAGCGGACAACACAAATAAGGCCCCTGTTATCGGAAACACTCGTTTAACCCCTATTAGGTGTCCGCGTAGACTCGAAACGAGCGATCTCGGAAATACAAACAGATTTTAAACTTTGTACGGACGCAGCTCCAGTGACCCTATTACCAAAACTATTTTTTATTTCGCTAGAAGATATCTATCGACTCTTCGCGACGACTCGAAAAGTACCGCCGAATGTAAATGGCGCGCGATTTGAACGAGCAAACAACCAATATGACGGCTGTGACAAATTACCGATAACGTAGGCTCGAAAGCAGAGGGGCTTGTATTCGAGCCTCTTGGCGTACTTGACAGACGAGCAGTTGTCTTTCAGACAGTACAGATGCTTCTCTCCCAACGCTATGATTCCAACCTCGAAGCTGCTCAAGGTGACAGCCTGGATGTCGAGGATGGCCTCGCCGATGTTGTAGCACCAGTCTGGTTCGAGAGTCTCGACGTCAGGCCGCTGGTCAGCGTCGTTGGATTCGTCTCTACTCCTGGCAAACTCCGCCATTGTTTGGTACCTAGACGATCCGAACGATAGAAAACATAGACAGAGTCTGGTGAAAAAATTTCTTTCGAAAGAATGCCACTTTACCCAATTTACGGTACAATTTTTATCCGTGACGTGTCAAACAGCAGAAGGACTCACGTGCCTGTAACACTCGATGAACCAACGAGTGCTCGCGGTGACGAACAGATCGTTCCGCGAAATGTAGATGATCGGCTCTGGTAGCAATCGATTTCGGAGAACCTGACTAAACGCGAACATCTCTTGCTCGTAAAAGAGAAGCGTACCGTCTAAGCACTGCACGCAGAGAAATTCCCTGCCACGGACGCCGCCAAATGGCCCAGACGTCAGAGAAGCTGGGAATCGCGGCAACGAATGCTCGTAAGCGACTGCCAGTTCGCAACGGTCTCCTGTTGGGATAAAAAAAGATATTTGAAACAGGCAAATTCTTTTTATTTCGAGAACCTTTAGAGAAAAGTCTCAAACCGAACCGTATTCCATGGATTCATCCTTCAGACTCACGTTGTAGACGGTCAATTTCGCGGGCGTCAGTACCGCCAGTCGAAGATCCTGCGAGCCTCTGCAACGAACAAATCGATTTATGATTTGTTCACGCGTTGAATCGAAGTAGAGAAAATTTTCCTTCGAACAGTATTTCAAATAACGTTTCTCCAAATTGGGTATGCTTCAAGTTACATACTCACGATACAAATTTTCCGACTTTGACGTCAACGATACAGTCACCGATTCGAGTCTCGATCATCAAGTCCGTGGACTTGTAATTGCTCGGGCATTTATCGTTTTCCAACCATTGCGAGGAGGGACTGTACATTCTCAGGTAACCGTCGTGACTGCCCACCACGAGTATATCCTTCTTGTCTTCGCCAAACAATGGCGCTACCAGTAAGCTATGCCCGTCGAAAACTTCGTTCGCCCCGCACACCGTTCGCCACCATTCTTTCGTCTTGAACAACGACATCGCCGAATGCGATTTATTCACGATCGAGACACCACCGTGGAAACCGACTTCCCTTTGCGTTGTCTTGCTGGTATCCAACTTCCTAGACACCTGGTTGCCATGGTACCCTGACTTGAACACATTGGACACGTACCGCCATTTTTAACTCTTTGCAGCACAGTGGCTAGGTCGGTTAACTAGCTGAAACACGTCCATTTTGATTTGATGGTATGATTTTTGCTAGACTGAATTTCAATTGGGATAGATGTCTGTGCTTTTAAACCAATTTTTTCTTTACTGGCTATGTCAGTAAATACTCTAGTATTTATTTAATTCGTTCAAATTGAATATTGATTTTTTTTGTTACCTGACAAAAATTGGTACTTTAATGAAATTTTTAATTAAATAAAAGAAGTTGTTATCCTTAATTTCGTGCCCTTTTAAAAACTCGAAGAGAAATTGCTAAGTTGCGATGTACGTATACAAATATACATAATATTGTAATAAATAAGTATGTAATTCATCTTGTAATAAGTAGTCTGATTCTATCTATCGCCAGACATTTTGTTTCGTTTTCGAACGCGTTCCGATATCTCGAAGTTTAAATCAATCTTGCCGCCGCGGGCTTTGTGATTGGTGTCACTCGAAGACAGATGGCGCGTATGTTCAGTCTACTGCAGTGATTCTTAATTTGTGGTGTACGGACTCCCGTGAATTTCATTCAAGTATTGTGAGATGTTCGTAGAAAAAGAAAGTTAAGAACCACTGGTCTATTACGTTCAGTGTAATGCGATATGCGATGACAGAAGGCGGTGACCAACCGTCTTGATATTCCTTACCGTTGTTCGTATATTTTAACTAAAGTTGTGAAATTTTTATTGGTTTGTATCAAGTGTTTGTGATCTCGAATCAAGATGGAAATTCAAGACATGTATCATAACAAGGCGGAATACGTCGAGACGGTAAGAAGAAGAGAACTGTGTATTGGTAAACAAACGTCAACCTAACCTCTTTCGATTTTAATGTTTCAGGCGTCCGGGAACAAAGTTAGCAGGCACACCGTTTTATGCGGTTCGCAGAATATCGTTTTGCACGGAAAAGTAATCGTACAGTCCGATGCTATTATTAGAGGTGACTTGGCCAACGTTAGAATGGGACGTTACTGTATTATCAGTAAAAATGCGATCATAAGGCCACCTTTCAAAAAGTTTAGCAAAGGGTTAGTAACTTTCGAAACACATACAATTGTAGTGCTGAGTGTGTTACGGAGACCATAGGCATTAATAAATTGTTAATTGAGCTAGCCACCATACTGAAAGGATCAACAGGCATCGTATAACCAAATTTTTTGTTTCTTTAGTATTGCCTTCTTTCCCTTGACAATGGGGGACCACGTATTCGTAGGAGAACGAGCAGTGGTAAACGCGGCTATCGTTGGATCCTATGTATACATAGGAAAGGATGCAGTAATTGTACGTACAACCAAAAATATTTTATTCGAATCTATTATAAGTAACAGCAAGTAACATTTCTAATAGTCAAGCTTGTTTTGAACTGTGCAGGGAAGGAGGTGCATCTTGAAGGACTGTTGTTACATCGAGGATGGAGCTGTGGTTCCACCAGAGACAATACTTCCCTCTTTCACTCGAGTCGCTGGCAGTCCTGCGAAATGCGTGGATGATCTACCCGATTGTACGCTTGACCTTATGCTAGAATTTACAAAGAATTATTATCAGCATTTTATGTTGTGTGGCATGCATTAGCTTACTTAAACATATGTCGAATTAGGTTATTTATTCGCTCTGAAAACTTTAAACTTGGCAAAACTAACGTACTGACGTTGGCGATATAATTATGCAATTGAAAATAACTTTTTCGACCATACTCTATAACTCCATGCAATTACCAAAAATGTGAAACATTTACACATGTTCTTTTATCGGAACAGTACAAAGCACTCTGCAGATGGCAGAATTCCTTAGTTAACCCTGCTTCGTTCCTCGATTCAGCTGTACATTTAAGGTCTTCATGCGTTAAGACAAAAATCTCCCGAAGACCGGAGCAAGGTTAATAAAAATATTTTAATTTCTAATATGCAAAAATATATTTAACAACCATTTTCATTCTATAAATTTCTCTTTTTAATAGTGGGGGCATCAGATCTTTCGAAAAATTTGAAAACAAGTGGTGTAGATATTAAAGCCGCACCTTTTGTGCCAAAGAAATTCCAACGCTAACAAGACGACACTAAGAACTGCGCCATAACCCATCGAGACCACCGCGAAGTAGCATTCGGTGAACCCGATACTGATGAAACCCGTCTGTCCTTGACACTCGGGTTTCTTCGTGTATAGTCGATTCTCTTCCCGATACTTCAGACCAGTCTCAAGCATCAAAAGAGCGCTGCAAACGACTGTTGAGTGATGAACGCGTGATAGACACGTTTTATATTCGCTATTATAATCGTTTTCAATTATTTTAGCCGGGCAGGCAATTTAAAGGTTTGTTAAATTGCGCATGGAAATAAAAGATGCTTTTTCCATCGAGGGTTCGTTTCTTTGACAAAAATAGCCTTGACTAGCTAAAGTAGTTGAAAACGACAATGGTCTTACACGTTTCTTATTATTTCCCTATATGGCGATCGAGTTTGGATCGTCATAAGTGGATCCAGCACGCCAAGCATATAAATCTCATTGATTCCGCATTTTTCCTCTTCTTGAAACGTCTCTTGCATTATTTTGTAAGTCGTGCCTCGCTCGGCGTGAAACGCGAACAATTCGGATCTGATGCGACGAACGCCCTCCGGCAAGCTCATCCAAGAATCTTTCTGGCCCTTTGGCTCGATCCTTTCGTCCACGATGGCTCTCCTCACCGGGTCTTGAAACGACTAGGTTAAGAAGAACATGTTTTGTTTACCCCATATTACTCCAAGTTCCTTCCAGAGGGCGTACCTTGAAGTAATATCGGTTGTAAATGACATCTTGGGCGCCTAGTTTGAGCGGACTGTTCAACAGATCGCTAAGGGTTTTGATAGAGTCGGTGCTGGACTGGAGCAAAGCGACGATATTGGCTGTATAAGAAGCATACAAGCTAAGGGCAGCGATTAGAAGCATTAGCGTGACGATCCGTGGTGGAACTCTGTACGGCTCGTAGTAATATCCTATTAAGGAATATTTATAATTTTATATTATGTAACGTCTTTATTGTAAAAATTGTGCAACAAGTAGAGGGTGCAGGGTTTTCCAACAAGAGTCATAGAATTTTGAATTAATGTTTGTGCAATGTTCCGTTGATAATATTTTTAAAACATTCTAGTCCTACTATGAAACAATTATAATCTGGACGCATACACGGTGTCCAAGCCGAAGCGGGCCACCGAAATATTTTCATTTATGTCTTAGTTTCGAAGAAGGAAATATTATGCAAGTTACAATTTTTTGTGTACGGCCATTTTGTTTTCAGTTTTTCATGGGTTTGTTCGTATCAAGAAAGCATAATGTTGTGTACCAACCTTGTTGAGCGACCGCACCCAGGACTACCATCAAATTGTCGCTGAGCGTTTGCTCCGCCGGATTCAACGTCTCCCAGTACTCCGTAGTGCGATGGCGGTATTCCCATTTCGTAGAAATGCAGAGTAGAATGAATACCAGCAGCAGAAAGATGCCGATTGCGATCCAGACCGAGCGTTGAAAGGGCAATGTGAATATGTTACTCACGGCCGACAATAGGGGTTGACGGAATATGAACATCGAGCTGTACCGTAAGTAAGTACGTATTAATTTGTATCATAACATGATATCGCGAAGATTATGGCACGAGAGCCACAATATGCGCACGATGGACCCAATTACCGGATGAACGAGGTAATTTGATCATCTTAATTATATCCGAGTAGGGTCGTGCAACTATGGCATGCTTCACGCGTGTACCGGAAATTAACTTAAGTACAGCTTCGATCATTTTTTTTTTATATTGCATAGGCTTGTGGCTTGTGGCGAGATAGCAGCATTCGGTTAAGTGTATCCCTCTGTTGGCGAGTACGGAAGGTGTCGCCGTAACATAACCTAGAATGTAGCCCCCTTCCGTTGAGAACAAAATCAAATCGATTCATCGACCAGTTTTTCTCGGATAAATTCTTTAAAAGGTGCTTGCTTTGAAAAAAAGATGACAACCCCCTTGGACTATCAATAAGTTATCGATAATCGTTAGCAACATCTCTATTCTGTGCACGGTACGTGACTTTATCTTTAACGTCGAAGGTATCTTACCGTGTTCGCGTGTACAGTTGCACGTAATCGACGACACCGATACGTTCTTTAACAAAGAAGGTTCCTGTGCCCGCCAGATCTATTTCTCGACGTTGCAACATCCCCATCATTCCATTCCATGAGTTATTCTCGCCGCGATATCCCCACGAGTTTGTTATCTCAAAACTGACACTAAACATAGAAAAATCACGCGTTTTAACGGTCGTTGAAAGTATATATTAAAATTCTAGAACGACAATATCGATTATTCGTGACGGTACGAGACTCGAATGTAAAACAAAACCTCGATTCTTTCGAGAATTCAACCGCACGCGAGCGGTTCGGAAAAACCGAGAGGTTAGAAGAAACGAGATTGCGGTTTAGATTCCGGGTTCTCGTTATAACGAAAGTCTCAAACGTTTAAGTCGGGATTTCCCCGTCTCAGGGTTTACAAGAACGTTTAAAAACTACTGTGACAACACGAAAATTTCTAACATTCTTTACTCCTCATCGATTCGTATCGCGCAAATAATTTCCATTGTCTCGTGCATAGTAATTTTTGGGGAAGTCCCCGACTCTGAATCGATTTCCCGGAAAATCGATCCGTTCCGTACGATTATCGATTGCTTAAATGTCGGGACGCAGAATTATTGGGTACGCCACTGCGGAGGAGAAAGCTGTTCTTTCTTCGTGTTCTTGCGAAGGTCGTTCGTAGCGTTTTCGCGTCGGTGGGCAATGTTTATAACAGAAGAAGAGAATCAGAATTTGAGAAATACTCACGTCGCGTTCATCCGATCCACCATGTTCAGTACCCAGGGATAATTGGCCTTCGTTATTGGGTCTATGTGCTTATTTTCGTAATCGGTTAGATGGTTGATGGTATCGGGATCCGTCATCTACGAACGCAAATGTACGGTTGATTTATCGCCCCGATCTTCGCTCGTAAATTTACCGTACAACAATGCTACTAGCTACTCGATCGCAACACACTGCACGTCACAATTATAACGCGCCCCTATATTTTACGAGTTCAAGGCTTTCCGTAACAATCAAACAGCCGCTGAAAAATATTATTTTCTTACAAAATTTGAAGAAGAAAAATAACTATTTCGTGGCATTTATTTCTTAGATAATAAGAAAGAGTTCCATCTCGTATAGATCGTTCGAAAAATGTTATCTTATCGACGTTTTTTAAAAGAGTTTTTTTCACTAATCTTTTCCGATTGATCGATCGAGTGAGATTCATAAATCTCCTTTATCCAATTTATCCCTAAAGTTTTTGGGGGACATTTAACAAAAAAAAATCCTTATATCTTTAATTAGAGTACCATCGGAAAAGTATAGCTCTATTAAATATCGACGAACGTTAAATGATATCTGACATTGATCTGCTATTGATCGATGCCAGTGTGGATTACATTCGCATCAACAATTAAATTTGCAATTATGATCTGCGCATGGAACACAGTTGTGTTTATACCGAGTCGAAAATTGAACGAATAGAATCCATTTGCGAATTAATTAAAATGAACGTAAGAAAATTGTTTTGTTTACAAATTTTTGGACAGTTCCTAAATACCACGAGACAGGATTTCAGAAGCGTCCCTTGTAGATCTTTTCTGCGTCGCGACGCCGGATAGAGATTCTTCATTTTTAAGCCGCGATCCGTCGTCCAGTTCCCTCGATCTTCCAGCACCACGCCACGCGAAGGACTCGGCCTGTAGATCGATGTTATTTCCGTGAAGTCGTCCCGAAGTCTCGTGGCTAGGATTACGTCGCTGTCGGGGAAAACGTTCATGTCCGTGAACGCTTCCATGATTTCGTAGGTCGACTGGTCCGTCGTATTTGCATCAAGTGCTCTTCTGTCTTGAAGCAGAAGCCATTTGATGGGCGCCACGAATATGTCGCTCTCGTTGCCCTTCGAAAAACCATGTTTTCGCGTCACGAAACATGTACATATGTTAATACTAGATTTATGGAACTCGTCAATTTAATTCAAATTCTCAACTTATAAATATTATTTCTTAACAATTTATGTCGTCGCAACCGAAAATAATTTTTCCAGAACGATTTGACATTTTTCAATTTTGTTGAAAAATTTGTCCACCTACTCGAATTTTTTTCTTGAAAATGGGTAGGATTTCGGGGATATGTCTATTCACCAAAAATGATTGTAACTGACCTCTGTAACCGAAAATAATTTTCCCAGAATGATTTGAAATTTTTTTTTGTCGTCGAAAAATTTGTCCACCTATTTGAATTTTTTTCTCGGAAGTGAGTACGATTTTGGGGATATGTCTATTCGCCAAAAATGATTGTAAATGACCCCTGCATCCGAAAATAATTTTTCCAGAACAATTTGAAATTTTTGAATTTTGTCCAGAATTTGTCCACTTGCTCGAATTTTTTTCTCGAAACTGCGTAGGAATTCGGGTGTATGTTTATTGACCAAAAATGATTGAAATTGACCCCCGCAACTAAAAATAATTTTTCTAGAACAATTTGAAATTGTTTCCTTTTTTGCCGAAAAATTTAACCTTCCTGAATTTTTATCGTGAAAGTGCGTAGGATTTCGGGGGTATACGTATCCACCAAAAATGATTGTAAATGACCCCTGCTTTCGAAAATAATTTTTCCAGAACGATTTGAAATTTTTGAATTTTGTCCAGAATTTGTCCACCTGCTCGAATTTTTTTCTGGAAAGCACGTAGGAATTCAGGTGTATGTTTATTGACCAAAAATGATTGAAATTGACCCCCGCGACTAAAAATAATTTTTCTAGAATGATTTGTAATATTTTAATTTAATTTTATATAAGATTCTTATGAAATATTTGATTGTCGTATTATTCGAGCAATGCTAGCTCCGTATTTGAAACTCACAAGACGTAAAAGTTGAACTGCGTAGTCGCAGTCAAGGTCCACCACGTACAAGATTTGATGGTCCCATATGTCGTGCGTCCGCTCGACGAATCCCTCGAAATCGCGATGAATCTCGTGAGTCAGTCGACTTCTTGACATCATCCTAGATAGTTTAATTGCCTCGTCTGTAACAAGAACAGTCGGGGAGCGTAAGAGAGATTACCTTGATGCAATTAACTTAATCCGCGGTAAATAGGATACGACGATTATTTTTATGCAATTTTGGCCGACAGTACAAAAAATTAATTTGTCGAAGAATACGAACGATACAAGGTCGAAAGAAAAATATAGTTTGAGAGCCTATATCTGTATGCGATTTAATGAATTCGTACGATACAAAAGAAGAATATTTTTATGAAATAAAATGCCGAGGTAACAATTTTTAAATAATGAAAAAAAATTATTCGAGTGTTCTGTTTTGTTTGGACCACTCTAGTGTATCGTCGTCGAATTTACGACGGCGTTGGACGAACCGTAAATTCGTTTTTAATGCTTTTCGTACTTACTGCTGCGAAATGAGTTCCTCGTATTTTTTGTCAGTTTTTTCTTCATAGCTTTATTGTAGTCTGACATCATACGCGGCAAATTAATTTTGTATGCCGGCAGAAACAGTCAATTATGTATCGTGACAAGCAGATCTCGTCAAAACATCGCGCTTATCGTGCCCGTGCATGATCACAATGCGTATCGTGTTTAACGAAGATAGAAATTGTTTGAAACACCGGTGAATTAGTTTACACCTACAGCTTTGGGACGAGACTTAGTGATGAAAAGACCAACAGTCATTTAGATTTGAATATATTCTTTGACTCGAGATTATTATTTGCTTTGTACAGTACGATTAATCTTCCATCAACGCGGTTAATTTATTCTGAAACTTTCTGTGCGAGTCGAAATTAATTCCAGGTGAGAAGAGTAGTGTGGTAACATCGATATGAAAAATTTGAAACGCGTCGAGTGATTTCTGATTAGTCGAAGGCTTCTCAAGGGCAGATTGAAGAGTTTGACCAAGTAGAACTAGCAATTCCTGCCAAGGCTGATCTTTCTTGCTCCCTGTTATACAAAAATTTGTTTTCTTTTATGAAAAGAAAAATTTAAGTAATGGAAACTTTACCTCATACGTTATTGAAAGTTTAGCAGTAATTTTCATTTAATTTCAAATTTCTCGAAAATTTAAACGAAACGTTAGAGAATTACACGTAACAACGCAACACAATGCGTTCGCATAGTCGACGAGGACTGTGATAAGTATATTATGAGCACGTGTTAACAATAAGTACATACACGATTCAAACAAACAACAGGTTTTACGATCCCATATGAATTGTTCGTGTGATGGGCGATTTCCAATATAAACTAGTTGCAACGACTGCCTCTACTCTTCATAAATATTTGGACATTTGCACGTTCTCGGGAAAATCTGTACAAACAAAAACTCAATTGCGTTTCTCCGTTATGCGACGAGCCTTGAAACGTACCCATCGATCAGGCTTGCACGCATTTCGTTTAAAAGAAAATAACGAACAATGAATTGTTTATATTTATGAGAAAGAAATTCTGAATTTGGGATGCAAAACCTGTATAAGTCTCCAAACTCTTGGACTATGTTTTCAATCACTATAATATACAATCGAATCTAATTAGAACAAGCATGGATATAGTGATTTTAATTTAATACCAATTCAACCGATTAGATTACCAAAGATGTACGATTACAAAGATCGGATTATTAAAACAAATGAATTTTTTCCCTGATTCATATCTGATTTAGCCATATTAAGTCATGTACTTATTTTATCATAAATTTACAATTTTTGTTCATTTTCAGATTATAGGGTACCTTGTCTTCGTTTGTTATATATTTAATTCTCGAGTATTTTGGAGTTTGTTATTTAAATTATTCGCGATAGGACGCAAAGGAAAGTTGCTGCCATTTTGTAAAAATTATTTGACAGATCGTATATAAATCGATCTTAAAAATCTCCGTTATCTCCGATAAGAGTCTGACATTCCATAAGTTTCTAATCTAGAACAGTTTCTGTTTAATATTTTTGTAAAACTACTACTTTCATTTACAGTATGTTTTTTCTATCGTCTGTTGTATTAGCAGTCGGTGTTATTGGTTTCGAGAATAAAGGCTAATAAAAATAGCGAGGAAAATTATCCTTTTACGTTTTAACTCATAAATGAGCCTCCTTTAGAGATATTCGTTTGATTGATTGCGTCAAGGGTGGCGAATTGACGGTTCGCGAGCCGGATGTAGCTCCTTCCCCTACTTTTCTGTGCCGCGCAAGCGCAGAAGAACTCTCCCCTCTATGCCTACTATGCAGAACTGGGACTAAGGCCCTGAACTTCATATTTCTAAAAGAAAAGACGTTGAAGGTTAGGTGAGATCTAATTATATTTTTTAGCGGGTAACACTAAAATAATAAACAATTTACATGGGTGGTTACTATATTTACGTACTTACAATTTATAGTTTATAATTAATTACAATGCATCACTGTTATTGTACCATTCTTGGTATAATAATATGAATGAGATAACACAGAAATAATATTATCTTCGCGCGTATCGACGCGAGAATTGAGATTTCGAAAAAAGCAAAAGAAATGAGAAAAGAATCAGTGTTTGGAATTAAGTAGTTTCGACAGTCCAAATCCTATATTATTGTTTACCGTTGAACACGCCCAGTCACATACATCACAATCACATTTATACATAGTCTTATTTTATTAATTTGAACGAGACACCGATTTATTTGATTAACGTCGCGATATCGCGTACTAAGATTTACGACCTCGCAAAATTCAGAAAGATTTGCGATCCTGGTTGACACAGTTATAACTCACAAACATACTTAAGCGGATATTGTTACAAGTGGTTAGAATTTATGGCTAAAATTATTATCTTACGATCGACGAAACTAAATTCTGAAATTGGGCCAGATCTATAGTTCTATTTTAACTAGATCGTGGGCCGGAAAATTCAACAAACTTTGCAAAATTATGTGCAAGTCGTAATACAGAACTATTGTTTATTAGTGAAATCATCGCTTAAAAAAAAAAAGTATTTTCTTTCTCGTGGAATATCTTTTACTTTATATTTGAATTTGCCGCCTCTGTTGTTTCTTCGTTATGTGCACATGGACGCTCACCGTTGAGGAACGGTTCTGATAAAGTTATGAACAAATATGGAGCGCAACGTGAAACAAGTAAAAACGGATTTTTCATTGCAAAATATGAGATCGACTATGTTTATTCTATCCGTGTATTCGCGCCGATGTTTGATATTTTGAAACGATTCGGTGCCAACGGAAAGTTAGTAGCAATTAGCCTTCGGTAACAGCACAGACTTTGATTTAAATATCAAGAATGTTTTCGAATGAAGGATATACTGATATTCATTTCTTGTACGGTTTATGTAGAGGAAATATTAACATACGGGAATATCAACACATATTTCCTCGAAGAAGAATGCTGGATTACTCCGTGTTTATTAACAACCATTTGCACGTGCTCAGAACGGGTTCATTTTGCAACATAAATGAATATCGTGTAGCTTTGTTCCTCTCAAAAAGAATTTTAACTCTTAGAAACTCCCTAGAAGCGAATAAATTGAATATGGCCATTCTTCGCAATTCGAATTTCCCGCCATTGTAACTCTACTTCTCCCTTGCAGATGGCGCCGTGTTTCTTCTATTTGATAAGTTGCATACTTACACGCGTAAATGGGTGTGCATAATTTAATTTATGTCACAGCTAGATTCGAATATAAACAATTTGCAATATTTATTTTAGTTTATCGTAAAAAAATGGCACGTCTTAGGGGACGACTCAATGTATTTATACAATTTGAAATTTGAGGTTTTCTCGAGTTTTCACATATAATTTTCTCAAACGTAACTGATCTCCTCGGCTATAATTATGGTTACACTTATAAAATTGGTAAAGATCTCGTTTGAGATTATTCTTAAACTCATTTGATAGTGTTAGTTTCGATACAGCAAAACTAATTAATAAGTTTTATTATCGTTGATGCTATAAATACCTCGTCTATTCGAACAGGTTTACATAAGCTTTCGAGATAAACGTAGCACTTCCAAAATTGATCGCGATGATTATGTGTACGCGGAGCTTATAATCGCGATAAGAGGCGATCAGATTCCTTCAAAGTCGCCAATATTCAAATAGATAAAAGAATGTGGAACGTTTCGTCTCACGGATCATTTTTTTTTTATCCCCGCATAATTACAGAATGAAGGCAATAATGTACCGTTTACACAGACAATTTAGACGCCGCGAGGCAAGCAGTAGAAAAACACGACCGTGTTGCAAGGAAACTGTCATAAATGAGTAAACGAAGTATTCGAAAATGAATGGATTCTGGGAAAAATAATCTTTAAACTAAGGAATCGGTGGTTAGTTTTGTAATTAGGCATTAAAAATATTTTCAATTTTACATTTTAAATAGGAAAGGGTACGAAACCAACAAGTTCAAAACAAGTTCTGTTGCTTCACGTTTCTTCGATGTAAACGAATTAAATTTACTTTATAATTTCTTTAATAAACTTGAAAACTTTTTGTATACGTGAACGTTGTATGTATTGTTTGACCCACTTTAAACTTGTTAATATGGTAGCCCTAACTATATCCATATAGTACGTTACAGAAGTGTGCAACGCGCGTAAATTAAAATCATTATGGCTACACGCGTGCCCACTATAATCAAGTATGACTCTACTTTCTTTTTGTCATGCAATTCATCGCGTGTTACTTACCCTGTCAATCATATTCGTACTAATCTTTCATTACAATCTTCGTCCCACTCAGTCTTAGACATCAATTTCTGCATCGTATCATCATACTTCTAAGTTCCAGACCTCGTTTTCATACTTATTGTCTCATTATTAGAACTTCCTTCTTTCGGACAGTCACGTCTTTTCAATGTAGTCCCCTTTCATGCGTCATCGACACTTTGTACAACAATATTAGGTTAAATTTATCTCTCTAATTCCCACTATAACCATATTGTTATTTACACAGAGTTATTCTAAAAATATAGAAATTAAACAATCATACGTTTCTCGAGTCTGTATAACGGATACATGAAAAAATTTTACAAA